GGACTCTGGAATGGCACGCACGCAGAGAAATGTAACCATTTTATTGCGAAGTGTGCAGACTGCGCAGGGACTTGAGGTTACCACAAACACACGTGTGAGGTGCAACCGAAGGTAGAAGTTAAGTGACAATCTTACCGAAACTTGTCACCGAAACAAAAGAATGCACCGCAAAATGAGCGCGTCTTTCTAGATGTACGAGTTAATGGGCATGAAATAAAAGCGTTGTTGGATCCGGGGTCGCAGATTTCATGTATATCATCGAGACTCTGTAAGATAACTGATATAACTCGTAAATCAAAACCTATTATGTTAAAATTAGCTGACGAAAGGGAGATTACGTGTCTAAACATGGCCATAAATTTGAGGCTTACCCTCACTGATCAAAGGACAACAGTTACAAAGGCGGTCGTCTGTAACACTTCGCCAGACTACGATTTGATAGTGGGGATGGGGGATTTGATATCGCTAAGTATTACGGTTACCGGTTTACCAACGAACAGAGACCCACAGAAGGATCAGTCAGATGATAATTTGCTAAAGCCTGTGTATAAGCCTCTTAGGACAGTGAGGGAGATGATACCTCAATTCACGAAGAAGCTAAAGAATCTTATCTTTGAGAATAACAAGATCAAGATTACCGACTGGGCTCAGTTCAAATTCAACAATGGATACGTGGGTGTAAGATTCGGTCTCTTACGGCGATATTAACGCCTTAGAATAAATAAACGCGTAGGTAAATTCTAAGTATCGTGAAAATATCAAGGTAAATAAACGAAATAAGACATTTAGTAAAGTTAGGTATGTCTCGTGAAAACAGCAATACTCTGAGGAATTGTTAGGCTGAGAAATTGCCTATATATATTCCTCTCAGTACTGTTTCCACCGAAGGGATTTTATTTAGTGTTTCGTTATCGCTCTATTAGAAACTATGGTATGTTTCATTGGGGCGAGTCCGAGAGACTCATAAAATCCTATCTTTAGAAAAATAAATTTAAAAAAAGAAAAAAACTCTTTATATCCTTAGTTATTGTCTTAACCAATAACAAGCCACGTATCAAGAATTACCGTCTTAGCCTTCATCAGACTGGCACATCTAGTTGGCTGATCGGAGGATCAACTAGGTAACGTTAATAGTCCCTAGAAACCTATATTCGGTTGAGCCATCTCGCAACCGAAGTATTCAGATATAAATAAAGTTGGAAAGTAAATAAAGTTATATTAATAGAACTAAATCAACTCTTTATGTTTGTTATTTTACTGATGCCTTTTAATGGCCTCGTACAAATATCTGATATGTAAAATGGAAAAGGTATTAATTAATAAAACCATTAAAAACCATTTTAGGAAACTTAAGTTCCTCGTGCTATTAAGAGTACATTTAGGAAACTTAAGTTCTTCGTACTATTAAGAGTACATTTAGGAAACTTAAGTTCCTCGTACTATTAAGAGTAAATTTAGGAAACTTAAGTTCCTCGTACTATTAAGAGTAAATTTAGGAAACTTAAGTTCCTCGTACTATTAAGAGTACGTTTATAAATTACGTACTGCTTAAGAGTAGGTTTATAACAGAGTCTAATGTGGAGGCCCGGCTTATTACACAGCCCCCACTCAGCTTTGAGACCCATGATAAGCAAGTTGCTCACTCAAGCTGATTATGGGTCAAAAAGCGAGAAAGGAAAAACGGGTCAAAACATTAAGGAGTATAACATATAGCTAATGTTTCTCGGGCGGAGAAGTTAAGCGTTCTCGGTTACCCTGTGAGTTTTGGGCTTAGGTCCAGTAGGTCCGTGGTGGTCGACTGGACGTTTCTTACGCTTCAGTGACTTAAGCACATATGAGGAATGAGCATTAAAGCTCGGGATAAATGCTGTAGGCGGATAAGTTTTAACTTCCGTTCCTTCTGACGATGGAAACATGCTATCTTTTTCAGCTTGTGACTTATGCAGGCGTTTACGCCATTTTCGATTAAAGGCTTTTTAAATAGTCTTGATTATCGAAAGCATCTAAAGTCAACTCAGCTATTGTACCGTCTATAAAGCGTGTACGATAGTATAATTTTTTTGTTTGAAAAGTTTGAGAAAGGAATTGGAAATCACATTTAGTGATTTCAATTGGGCAATTAGAAAACGTACCCATAAATCTGTATGTGTATTTAGTGACTTTCCCAGGTAGGCCATATACATTTAGAGTATTTCTTCTAGATTTGGGGTTTAGGGTTGTAGTAGCAATTTAGGTCTCGTGACTATTATCCACTGAAGTCCTCTCCTTATATACGCTATCACAACTATGTCTTCTATCCTATCCCTTTCTGATGGCACGAGACATCGTACTGCCACACATGTCCTTTCACCATATCTCCGGCACAATTCGCCTGTACACACACCCTCTCGCGTGCCCCCACGCATCGCATCACTTAAAGTCGTCGCCGGCTTATCCATACTCACTGAAGCCCTATTCTTCCGTGAGTACTCTATATGTGCTTTTTAGCATACAATCGTTCTGTGTGTGCAAAATTTCCAAAAAGCCTGCATCGCAGGCCCAATCAAATCCGTATCTACAATTCTGGTGGGAAGCCAAGATCCTTATTCTCTTTTTACACCACCATCACAAATATGGGCACTTGTCTGGTTTTCAATGATATGTAAAACACTCGAAGTTGATATTTACCGCTGATGGATTGCAATATAGCGCATATGTGTACCGTTTTCAGCACTATGCCAAAACTTTGAATATCAAGGTTCGAGAACAATTGACACATAGCCCATTTTCAGTCTCATGAAAAGACACTTGAATACCATTGGTTTGTAGAAAAATAAGTATGTGGTATCCTGGGGTTGTCGCTGAATGGATTAATATGATCGCAATATGAACACTTGTGTCCTGGTGTTAGCATTACGTGGATAATTTGAATATCGATGTTCGAAAGTATGAACACCTATGTTCTGCTTACAGCATTATGAGAAACACTAGAATGTCAAGGACTGTACAAATACGGAAAAGATGACCACGAGTTGTTACCAAAAATGGACACACATGTCCCGTGTTCAGCACCACGCAAAACACTCGAATGTTGTAATTTGTCTCTGAACAATTGCAATTTAGACACTTTCGAATTCTGTACATATTTATACAAATTTCTCTTTGTGATAACTAGCGAGATGTACTGTGTTCTTGTATTATTTTCTAATGTACGTAGCTTCCGAATTTCTATCATATTTTCAGTGTTTATAAAGTACTGATGTTTGTTGTATGATATTTCATCAATCCTCGATTCTATACAATAAATCTAGTCAAATATAGGCGTCGGAATTCTCAAAACTGTATCGATGTATCTAATTGTTAAAATATTGATATTTCTGCACTGTTTTCATCATCATGAAAAATTTGATTAATATCAAGGTTTGTTAAATGTGGACACTTATGGACCCTTTTCAGCAGTATACAATTGGACACTCCAGTTCCGTTTTCAGTATTATACAAAACACTCGAACCTTGAAATTTGTCGCTGAATGATCGCAGAAATTTTTGAATTTCAAGGTTTGTGGAATGTACACCTTTTCCAGTTTATCGAGGTTTGTAAGATCGTATGTCCTGTTTTCAGCATTGAATAATCGATGTCAAGCATACATGTGCATGAATATACTGGATGTCCCGTGACCAGCTAAAACCCTTAGTGCACAAATAGTGGCTCGACATTACTCACATTGCCTACAACGTCGAGGGGTCGGTTTTAGGCCTGAAGGTTGTCGCTAAATGCACATTTGGAATTGTAAAAAGTTGTTATATGGACTTTTGTAATTTCTGACACAAATTTAAGACAAAAAAGGTAATGAAACATCGACAAAAGTTTTCAAAAGTACTTATAGTGACTTTTTCATAAGTATATACATAGACTTTTATTGCTAATTTTGCCAGAAGATCGGAGAGACTTTGGTAATCGGTCTCAACCATTCGATATTAGTGGGTCATCTATCCGTTCACTAACGTTACTTTCTGTTTCAAGCACATAACGTAAAATTAAGATGAGGAACATACAAGCTAAACCGCTTCTCTCATGGCCAACCTAGGTAGCTCGTTCAAGCAGACGCCTTATTCATCTCGCTTTTTTTGGGTTTATATACTGCAGCGCTCTCAAAATCAAAACTATCGTTTGACTACGCCAAGGCGCAATATATGTAGAAAGCGTGATGTTGAGCTTGATCCTGTAATCACAATGGAATGAAGAGCGAATAAGCATAAGATAACGACATTGTGATACAAAGTTCCCATATGTACAGACATTGGGAATACAAACAAGTACACTCACATATCAATTTCAATTTGAAGTCAAATATCGATATCGTTATCAATATCAATACTCATACCAGTATCAGATTCAATATTATCATCGATATATATATATATATATACTTACACACACACATAAATATATAACAAACAAACAAACAAATATGTATACATGCATACATGCATTCATAAATATACATGTACACACACACACACATATATATATATATATACAAAACACACACACACACATGTATATATATATATACACGAAATATCACAACATAACATAACAACATAAACACACACACATATATATATACATACATGCATACATATATATACACGTACACACGCACACACACAATATATATATATATATATATATATATATTTGCTATATAAACATCTACATATTCCATATATATATACCCCATACCTGGCCCCTAGTACTCCTCCTCTGCCTTCGCATATTTGTACTTTTTATCAAGAACCTACAGAAATGACATTAGGTAAAAGTGTATCTATTTGAGCAATTCTACGCACATCCACTCAATAATACAGATCGCTGGAAGTGAGGTCAAGTACATGGCCAAATAACATACACCCAAGTAACATACGGGCTTTGCCCACATGAACCGTGCCTATTTAAACTCCTTTGACTGGTGTGATCTAAACTGCAAAGCGACTCGATTTTCCAGGACACAATAAGTGCGTCAATCAGTTAGGAGCACTCTTACATACTTTGAAAAGCTTGTCGTACTTGCCGCGCCATTTTCGTTCGGTCTTATCCACAAACCCCTTAATGCCCAATTTCTCAGGATTCCACTTCTTGTAGTAGGCTACAATCCTCTCGCGTGGAGTAGACACCAGCCCCATCCTCAACGCATATCTGTAGTTGCAAGTTAAACAGGGATATGAATTTATATATGATTTATGTATGAATTCAAACATCTCTCCTCATTATTCTGGCCAAATGTAAAAGCACATCACACGCGGAGCAAGCAATCTGCTCAAAAGATCTGGACACAATGTACTTGTACAGCCATCGGGTGTACAAGGGTAAGGCTAAAACCCTAAACCCTAAAGGGGTATAACCCAATGTGTGGCAATTACCAGCGCACTATGTTGCACGTGTTCCCTCACTTGTGTGACTTGGGCATGAGAAATCTCAGCACCAATGCAGGAATTGCATTCTGGATATAGAAGTAAGCGGTTCAACAAATACTCGGGGATGCGAGAATGGAACACGCACGGCGAACCATACAGCCTCATACTTCTTATTGCTGATGACTTGTAACCCAAAGGGCATAGCCATACTAACAAGAACAGCATAAGCCAAACTAACAAGCACAGCATACGCCACACTAACAAGCACAGCATAAGCCACACTAACTAGCACAGTATAAACCACACTAAAT